ATATATATATATATATATATATATATATATATGTTATATATATATAACATATATATATGTTATATATATAACATATATATATATATATGTTACCCACTAACTAACTATATATATAATATATATTAGTTAGTTGGTGGGCAGTGACAGTAATGCCAGGTCTTTGATCAGAGGACAGTAGTCAAAGAAACCTCTGGATCAAGGGGCAGATTTGTTGTGACTACAAAATGTTTGTTCAACTTACCATAAGCTAGGAGGGGAGAAAAATCACAGTAAGAAGGATACAGGACTCAGCCAGACTCTACACACAGTCATCTCTCTGGACTTTCTGAGGATCAATATTCGCCACCAAGGCTCAAGCCCCTCAAAGTTGTGGAGCATCTGCCCGTAGTTTTTGAGGATCCCCACACATACTTTGAATGAAAGTACAATCGTTCCTCAGTGTTTTAACTTTGGCTGCTTGACCCACACAGTGGAACCTTGTGGCTCTGAAGGGCCGGCATCACACAGCAAGGCAGATTCCATCCCAAGCTTTTATAGAGCCAGTTGTCCAAAACCTCCTGTGTCTCCTCACCACATCTCTCCTCAATATGTTCTCAATGGGGCCAGGAAGTGCCCTAATACCAGCACCCTTCCAGTGAGAGTCGCTGCTGTGGACATCTTCCTGGGCAGTATGTCTGTCCTTGAGGCACAGCTTGTGGAAGCCACTGCCACCAGGGTTCTCTAAAAGGAGGCAGGGTACACACCCAAAGGGCATGTATGCATGTACCTGGGTCATGTGTGTACATGTGTGTGCTTGCTTGGTGGTCCTAGTATTCACACCTACTGCTGACACACTGGCCTCCCCTTTCTATAAGAATCTAGCCCGTGCACACACAGATGAGAAAGAAAGGCCTCCAGAGTCAGTACAGAATTCCACCAAGAAAAAAAGGCTTCCTGGATATTTGCTTAAAAGGGCAAAATTATAAAATGTCAGTGCTGACTGACATTCTTCTCTGTACTTGTCTTCAGGCCAGAGATGAGCCAGAACTCTGACGAGGCCTCAGCACTGAGGCTCAGCCTTTGACAGTTCCTTTCTGTGCCTCACCTTGCAGAAGATACCTGGAGCACAAAGCATTGCGTGTGCGTGTGTGTGTGTGTGTGTGTGTGTGTGTGTGTGTGTCAGGGTTCACACCTTCAAGGCCAGATGGGGACATGTATGCAGAGATTTGTGACTTGTCCAAGGATATGTAGCCAGTTCCTCTGAGTAGACTCCAGGACCCCCAAAGTCTGAGTCTCTAGAGGATTTGGAATGTATCTGTCTATCACTCAGCACTGAGATGGCTAAAGTGAACAGGAAACCAAGTCAGACCCTGCAAACCCGTCGCCAGGATCTATCAATCTCTGGGGAGATCATCTTCAGAGCAATAAGATAACTAACTAGACCAGGGACACCACCAGCACCTCACACGTTACTGGCGTGGGACAGGGACGCTGAGCCCCATTTATTAAATACACTGGAAGCGAAGGTTGAAAGAACATAAATAATTTGCCTGAGATCGAATAGAATCCAAGAGAGGAACGCCAAGATTATCCCCAGCCCTCCTGTTCCAAAAATCTAGGCCTTGATTCATTGTGAGCCTGGCTTTCCTCAAAAGGAAGGACACAGAGCTGGGTGTCCTCATTTGTACTGGGCCACCATATGCTCAAACCCTAAACTAAGACATCTTCTTAAGGAAGTTTAAGACAAAAAGGAAAAAAAAAAAACTGTCAGAAAGACATTGATGTATGAACAAGTTGGATGTGATTACTTGTGGGTGGGGAAGACGTTTGGGGTTGGGTTCCTGTCTCTGAGTGTGTGTGTGTGTGTGTGTGTGTGTGTGTGTGTGTGTGTGTGTGGTGTTTGCTATGTATTAAATAGCTCAACTCTGTGTCTTTTCCTGAATTCCATTTGGCCAGCCCAAAAGAATGGAGCCCCTTTTTTCTAAGTGTTAGAAACTAACAAATTTATTGAAACTGGTCAGTCGCTATCCATATATGCCCAGGCTCACCCAAACACTCGACAGGCCTGGTTCTCAAGGGCTTACCTAATTAGAAGGTGGAGGGGAAATCCAAGGAGCCTTTCAGGGGCAGTGGTAAGTGAATTCCCTCTGCCCTTTGCCCTCAGAACACCCTCATCTTGCTCATCAGCTGAAAGAACCATGATACAGGCATTCAATGCCCCGGAAAAGTTGTGTTTCCTTTGTCCCTAGTTCCCGAAGACTGAAGTGTTTACCTCAGCCCACACTCAGCTCTCACTCTATTATATAATGTGATTATCTGACTTTTCAGCTCATCACAGTATCAACATTATCGGATTTGATTCGAGGAAGGGACATTGGGTCGCATTGTTTCAACCCTGGTATTCCTAGGAAGCAGACGGTACCAACATGAGCTGCCCATCTCCCCATCCTCTCTTCTGGCTCTGTTCAGTCCTGCTCAGTTCAGGAACTTAGCAGAACCCACCCACTAGATGCCACATCCCTCATGGGACTCTGGGAAGATGGGGAGAGGGAGGGAGATCAAGCTTTCTCCAGGCACACACTCAGTGCTGACGGGAGAGGCACAGTGGGCCAGCAGACGTCCATGGAATCTGAGGCACACCCTGTTCCCAGGTGCAGCAGGCGTGAGGACAGGACAGACAGGTAAGAAAGAGCAGGAGGGGCTTTCAGAAGCAGTACCTTGCCTCTTGAATCTAACTCACTTCTGTCAGGTAAGAGTAGACAGAAAAGGAAGCCTGAGGTCTAAGAGAGCCCAGCCAAAGACCAGTTAGCAGATGCCCAGAAGGGGCAGAGATATACACAGTCATTACAAGTCAGAGTACACACACACACACACACAGAGAGAGAGAGAGAGAGAGAGAGAGAGAGAGAGAGAGAGAACCATAGGAATAGAAGGCCCATTTAAAGCGAGGGCCTAGAAACACCCTCACAAGTCTAGAAACGCCAGGATGCTTAACAAATATTTTGAAAACAAACAAAAATAGGCTTTCTTCTGGCTTCCTTTGCCTTGAGAGCCTAGAAGGAAAGCCACAGCCCTCACAGTAATCCTGCCAGGCGGGGGTGGGGGGTACTGGATGGACACCTACTGAATAGCACCCAGGGTTCTGTCTATTCTCTGCCTCGCCTATAACCACCTGTCACCTCTACTGTGACAAAGAGCTATCTCCAGTGATTCTGCACAAGTCACAGCAACCTGTTTACAGACATCTAGAGTTCCCAGGCAGTCTTAGGACAAGGGACTCGGGCCGCATCCAACTGGACAGCAAAGCCTTGGTCAGAGAATTCATTCCTCCCCGTCTATTTATGCCGATGTAAACACTTGCCAAGGAAACAAGGCATGTGGGCATGCGCAGCCCGGCAGGCCCTCGGGTGGCTGCAAAAGGCAACTGGAAAGTCACATGTCATAACATTGGAAAGTACATATGCAGCTATTCTTAGCCTTGGAATGTATACACGCTCCGCCTGCCCAGCAGCCCTTGCACAGAGCTCTAGAAACTGTGAAAGCGCCTGCAGCATAAACAAATCCAGAAGGCTCCTAGGACAGAGAATTTGCCAAAGGAAAGGCCTGGGGTTTGTGGTTTTATTCCGAGCCTAAGGTAGAAAGCTTCTGAGAGGACAAGACAGACAGCATCTGTGGATGTCACTGCAGCAAAACAAGGTAAGTGTCCCTAACATGTCATTCCTCAGCAGGCAGATTGCCTTTGTCATCAACAAACCACAGAAGTGTTTGGCCTTTGCTCTCTACTACTTACATCTTTAAAGTAAAAACCAAAGACTGCACAGTCTTCTCTCTACATCTTGCGACGGCCCATCTTGATCCCTCCCTTCTGTCTAGTGACCAGAAGACCACACCCTCAGAATGCCAGCCTTGGAGAATAACTAACCCCCAGAAAGATTCGCAGATAAATGAACTGACAAATCTGTTGAGGATCTGGACAAAAGCATTTCTTGTCAGATGCGTGGACTCTTCTCTTGGGCTAGGCTAATCTATGAGTCCCCAACCAGCCACTTTGGTTGGAAGATGCTTAAGTGTAGCTGGAGATGCTATGTGTCTCTTGTCTCTAAGGATAATCGCAGCCCGAACGCTCTGTGGTCTAGGTGAGGGTGCTTTCCTCTTCGATCTTTAATGTGCTTTAGTGTTTGTGGTTCCACCGACTCAATAAATAGTAGTGAATGAGGCTTGGGGCTCACACAGCTAACCCCTCCAGGATACTCTGTGAGAAAGCCTTGACCTTGCTTCCATATGGGACTTCCCTCCTTCTTTGTAGGATGGATGAGGAGTTCCCGGATGGGGTTGTCTTCAAAGACCACAACTTCTCCTCTGACTTGTTGACACAGCTCAACGGCTTAAGGCAAAGCAAGATCCTGACAGATGTGAGCATCTGCTCCGGGGCCTGGGAGGTCCCTTGCCACCGCAATGTGCTGGCTTCCAGCAGCCCCTACTTCAAGGCCATGTTCTGCAGCCACTTCCGGGAGAGCAGAGAGGCCAAAGTGCAGCTGAAAGGCATCAGCTCCACGACCCTGGAGCAAGTCATCACGTACGTGTACACAGGAGAGGTGCACATCTCAGCGGCCAACGTCCTCCCGCTGATGGAGGCAGCCGCCATGCTGCAGTATCCCAGGATGTTTGAGGCCTGCTCCTCATACCTGCAGAGCCAGCTGGCCCCCAGCAACTGCCTGGGCCTGGTCAGACTCGCGGAAATCTTAAACTGTGAGAGCCTTAAGAAGAAAGCCAGGGAGGTGGCCCTGACTTACTTCCCTGAGGTAGCAGCATCAGCTGACATGAAGGAGCTCTGTGCCCTGGAGTTGAGAGACTACCTGGGAGATGACAGGCTCTGCGGAGAGGAGGAGAAGGTGTTTGAGGCCCTCATGGCTTGGGTCAAACACGACCTCAAGGCCCGGTGGAGGCACATGCAGGAACTGCTGCAGCAGGTCCGCCTGCAGTACATCCACCCCGCCTTCTTCTACCATTTCATCGCCAGCGACGCCCTCCTCCAGTCCTCACCCGCGTGCCAGGCCATCCTGGAGATGGCCAGGAAGCAGATATTCTCTTTGCACAGTCCCAGTGCCCAGGACTGCAATTTCCTGTGGCACACGCCCCCCAGGAGCTCCTATCAAGACTTCCTGCTCCTCCTGGGGGGACGGAAAGACAATCAGCAGACCACCAGGGATGTCTTGCTCTACAGTATGCCGAGTGGCCAGTGGCAGAGCCTCGCCAAACTCCCCACGCGTTTGTACAAGGCCTCAGCCGTCACCTTGCACCGCAGTGTCTACGTGCTGGGGGGCATGGCTGTCGGTGAGGGCAAGAGTCTCGTCAGCTGCAGCGTATATATCTTCTCCCTGAAACTCAACCAGTGGAGGCTGGGGAAGCCCATGCTGGCAGCCCGCTACTCGCACAGAAGCGCTGCCCACAAGAACTTCATCTTCTCCATTGGGGGCACTGGAGAAGGGCAGGAGCTGCTGGGCTCCGTGGAGAGGTACGACAGCATCTGTGAGGTCTGGGAGAGCATGGCTAGCATGCCTGTAGCTGTGCTCCACCCTGCTGTGGCAGTGAAGGACCAAAGGCTCTATCTTTTTGGGGGTGAGGACATCATGCAGAACCCCGTGCGCCTTATCCAGGTAATCAGCTGGTCCTTCTCATCATGTTAGTAGCAAGTGTGTTTGCACACACACACACACACACACACATCACATATATAAATAAATAAACATGCCTAATATGGCATTTACATACATGTACATGAACATGCATTCACATGCACATATATAACAGCATAAACATGCACACATATACATGTATGTATGTAAATATGTATGCATTTGTATGTATATGCATATACTCATATTTATCATAAATACACATATGCATGTATATACCTATGTATGTCTCTATACACCTATGTACATATGTATACATGCAGACATATAATGGAATATACACATGTGCACATCTGCATGCACTCATGTTCACATATGTATGCTATATAAAAGGGTATATGCACATGCTCACATCTGCAGATATGTGCATGTATTCATATACACATGTGTGCACATAAACACACACATATGTACAAAGTGTGCACATATGAGAACAAATACATGTATGTTTGCGTGTGTGTATACACGCATGCCCCCACATAAGCACGTAGACATGCACAACTTTGTCTTTTGCAGAGAATGAAGACAAGAAACCTTTCAGTGTTTTTTTTTTTTTAACTTATGAATTCTTACTGTGAGACTAAGGCAAAGTTATGTTAAATACATTCCCATGCACACAGAGCTTATTTTCACACGAAGCCTATAAGTTCAGGCTGAAACATTAAAACTGCATGGCCCTATCGGACACTAGCAGTGCCTAACCCATATCAGTAAGTCTTCAAAGAAAACTCCAAGCCTACCCCACCCTCGGACAACAAATCCCATGGAACCTGATCTTGGATCTACCCTATCCAAGTATCTTAGCATGGGACTGAGGCATCGGTGCCTTCCAAAAGGCTCTAAAACACAGCTCGGTCTGGGCACAGACCTAAATCACAGCAGAAATCCATTTCACTCACACGGTCTCTAAGCAGTGTTTGATAAAGGCCACCCTCAGAATAACAAGAGTTGCCCAGCTTCATGCAAGCTTCTAACAATTGCTACAAAAAATGGTAAGCTTCTATATATACCCACATCTATATATGTATGTAAGTATGTGTATATGTATGTATATTTTTACTATGTAGAAGACCCCAAGGGGTAGACTCTATTCATCCATATGCTTTATAGTGAGCATTGACCACTGTAAAAACTCCAAAGACCTGGGAGGAAACAGAAAGTTACATTTAACCTTCAGGGAGTTTACAGTTGCGATTGAGAAGCCGAAGACACATATGCTCTGAGAGCTCAGGGGTGTCCTGAATGAGACCAGAGGGAATCACCCGGAGAAGGTCCAGAGGACTTTGGAGAGAACTCTGTTTGGGGCTTAAGCTGATTTGAGCACTGGAGCAGAGGAAGGGAGCTGACAGATACGAGAGAAGGCTGAAAGAGAAGGGAGAAGTCCATGTGGATGCTGAGATGCTGAAAAGAGCATGTAAGCGAGGGCCTGATGGGGAGTGAACAGCCGATGAAGTTAGAGCCACCTGCAGAGGGAGAGAGTGATCCTGGGTAAATGTCCTTTGTACAAAAGCCCGGAAGGAAAAAGAAGGCACAGCCCATGGCCTGGAGAACTGAGAGCGTGGCACGTGGTTGCCAGGCAGAGCAAGGAGGAGGAAGGCTGTATGATGGAAGTTGGTTGCAGAGAATCTTCACCCTACCTTCCCACGCAACACCAGCAACATCCTCCACGCAGATGCTGCCTCCAGGCCCCGCCCATCAAATTTCTAGACCGTTCCAGAAGGGCTGGTGGAGATGAAGCTGTCAGGGCTGGACTCTGTAAATCTTGTCAAGAAACTAAGATGGTAACCTGACAACATGGGTGGGGCAGAGAGAGCATCAGAGTGTTTCATGGGGGGAGGGGAGACGGGAAGCAATCAGATGTGCATTTTAGCTCCGTCTGCGCTTTTTGAGAAAGGACGTGAGGAGATCCAGAGAAGAGAGCTGGGAGATTCTCCCAGAAGTGCAGGCAAAGGGTGACGGTAGCTTAGACACCATCAGTGTCGCTGGGGGTTACTTTCTCACCTTCTTTCTTGAAGCCCTGACCATCTATGAAGTCTTCCTCTTCCCAGATGTACCATTCTCAGGTCCACACACTGACCTGAGCTGGGAGAGACTCAGCCTTGATCCTCAAAAAAAAAAAAAAAAAAAAGACCCAGCAGAGCACTTTGGCCGAAAGCTGGGACTCGTCCCTCCTCTCCGCCTGTTTTTCGGAATAGAATCAGTAAATATGCTTGTGCCTTCACACTCCAAAACTGTCACCGACTTCCCAAGAATAAAATGCAAAATGAAACCAAAGAAATACAAACCTGCGAGTGATCCTTTTGTGGTACAGCTAAGGAAAGCCAGGAATGGGTGAATGTATTCATTTGCATGCTTTTTCCTGCCTAGCATTGGCCTTGAAATAGACAGTCTACTCACTTAAAAAGAGGTTTAAATGGATGCCGAGAGTCCCTTGATGGAGCAGGTTGGGTTTTCAGGCAGAGGCAGTTTTCTCCGTCTAATGCATGTGTTCTTTCCTGCGCTGTCTTGCAACGGGGTCAGTAGACAAGGTGTCTGTGTATGGTCCCTTCCGGCCTGGCCTTTCTTCTGCCTCCACTGCTGGATGAGAACGCAGTCTCATTCTAAGAAGCAGTATCACTTTCTCCCCTGGTCAAATGCATCCTCTGCTACCTTGCAACAGTCTCTCTGGGGTACTGTGAGGATTGAGAGGCCATGATAAATCTGTCCTTGAAACCAAACACAAAGCTGAGAGAACAGAAGGCCAGGAGGAAGCTACTCCATCGAGGAAAATGCAACCAGCGTTTGTTTTACTTCCAAGGATCCCACCTCTCAAGGAGTGTGTCACCAGTGTCTTTTTCAGATGGAGCAATGGGGCTTCCCAGCCACTGTGACTATAGCCAGCCTCCTCCAAGCTTCAACGGGAAGAAGAAATGATGTCAATCCCAAGGTGATCTCGGTCTCATAAAAATTCATCAGGGGACTGTAAGATGGATGGTTCAACAGGTAAAGGGACTTGCCACGAAAGCCTCATGAAACCATGTAAAAGTGTGAGGAGAGACTACAGACTCCACAAAGCTGATCTTGCCACACATGCGATGGCACATGTGTACACATGCATAACACAACAACAACAACAACAATAATAATAATAATGTTTAAACTGTTAGGACAGGCAGCACTCCCTCAGCAAATCCACGACACTGGTGATCAAGAGCATGGCCTCTGGACTGAACCAGAAACTCATTTCCATTCAGTCTAGCTATGTAGCCTTGGGCAAGTCACTGAACTCCTCTAGGCCACAATAGTCTAGAAAAACAAGGAAGAAACAGTAGCTACCTGATAAAATGTTTGTAAATATCAAATTCTTCATGCTATCTATTCTCTATCTATTTACTTATTTTTTTTCAAGGCTTTTTTCTTTTTTTAATAATTTATTTATTTTTATTAATTACACTTTATTCATTTTGTATCCCCCCATAAGGCCCTCCCTCCTCCCCTCCTGGTCCCATCCTTCCTCCCCCTTCTTCACACATGTCCCTCCCCAAGTCCACTGATAGGGGAGGTCCTCCTCTCCTTCTTTCTGATCTTAGTCTATCAGATCACATCAGGAATGGCTGCATTGTCATCTTCTGTGGCCTGGTAAGGCTGCTCCCCACTCAGGGGGAGGTGATCAAGGAGCAGGCCAATCAGATTATGTCAGAGGCAGTCCCTCTTCCCATTACTATGTAACCTACTTGGACACTAAGCTGCCATGGACTACATCTGTGCAGGGGTTCTAGGTTTTCTCCATGCCTGGTACTTGGTTGGAGTATGAGCCTCTGGGAAGACCCCTGTGTTCAAATTTTCTGGTTCTGTTGCTCTCCTTGTGGGGTTCCTCTCCTCTCCAGCTGTTACTATTTCCCACTTCTTACATAAGATTCCATGCACTCTGCCCAACAGTTGGCCATAAGTCTCAGCATCTGCTTTGATAGTCTGCAGGGCAGAGCCTTTCAGAGGCCCTCTGTGGCAGGTTCCTAGGTTGTTTCCTGTTTTCTTTTTTTTCTGATGTCCATCCTCTTTGCCTTTCGGGATGGGAATGGAGCATTTTAGTCAGGGTCCTCTCTCTTGATTAGTTTCTTTAGATGTACAGGTTTTAGTAGGTTTATCCTATGTTATATGTCTATATGAGTGAGTATATACCGTGTTTGTCTTTCTGCTTCTGGGACAGCTCACTCAGGATGATCCTTTCCAGGTCCCACCATTTACCTGCAAATTTCATGATTTCCTTATTTTTCATTGCAGAGTAATACTCCATTGTGTAGATGTGCCACAATTTCTGCATCCATTCTTCAGTTGAGGGGCATCTGGGCTGTTTCCAGCTTCTGGCTGTTACAAATAAAGCTGCTACAAACATGGTTGAGCAAATATCCTTATTGTGTACTTGAGCCCCTTTTGGATATATGCCTATGAGTGGTATGGCTGGATCTTGAGGAAGCGCTATTCTTAGTTGTCTGAGAAAGCACCAGATTGATTTCCAGAGTGGTTGTACGAGTTTGCATTCCCACCAGCAGTGGAGGAGGGTTCCCCTTTCTCCACAACCTCTCCAGCATGTGTTGTCACTTGAGTTTTTCATCTTGGCCATTCTGATGGGTATAAGGTGAAATCTCAGGGTTGTTTTGATTTGCATTTCCCTAATGGCTAATGAAGTTGAGCATTTCTTTAAGTGTTTCTCTGCCATTCGATATTCCTCTACAGAGAGTTCTCTGTTTAGCTCTCTATTTACTTATTTTTAAAGATGTACTTATTTTTATGAGGATGGACATTTTGCATATATATATATATATATGGACATCTGCATATATTAGTGAGTCGCATGCACTCAGTGGCCCTAAGGGCCAGAAGAGGACATCCAATTCTCTGGAACTGGACTTGAAGACACTTGTGAGGCACCAAGTGAGTTGCTTGGAATTGAACTCAGATCCTCTGGAAGACAGCCTGTTCTCTTAACCACTGAGCTACCTCCTCAGCTCCTATTATTTAGGATTCTAAAACAGTCTCATGTAGCCCAGACTGACCTTGAACTCTTTGTGTAGCCAAGGATGACCTTGACCTTCTAATCTTCCTGCCCCTACCTCTTGATCACTAGGATTACAGGTGGCACCAACCACAACCTGTTTATGTGGTTCTGGGGATCTATGCCGGCCTTTATTCGTGCCAGGCTACCGACTGCTTTATATTCTCTGTCCCAATTTTTTTACTTAATGGTAAGAATAATGTATTCAAAAAAAGCTAGACATTATATTTTACATGGAAAGAAGTTTCATCGACAATTGCTATGTCATTTTTCTGTGTAAACAAATATTTTTGTTCCTTTTTTTCTTATGCGGAGTCCATCCTTTATCTTTTGTGCTGAAGTTTGCCTATTACTAATTAGCTTACATTTCGTATTTGAATTTTGAACTTGGACAGTCAACAGAAAAGGGAATCCTGTTTTGATCCACAGTGTAGAGTTTTGGCTAATGAGCCTTCTCTTTGGTTTGTCATCTTCTCTTATTTCTCTTCTTTCCTCAAAACTTTAATTCTTCTCAGGCATAAAGTGTTCCAAAGCCTTCCTTTCATAGCCTCAAACTTATTCTTGGTTCTCTGACCCTCTCAGCTACACAGGAACATTTAGAAATATAAACATGGGCTAGAAATAAAAATTATAGAAGAAAAATGGTTTCCTAAATATCCAAGTTTCTCCATGTCTCATTAAAAGAATAAAATATCTCCAGAAGGTAAGTGAAATGCCCAACCCAGTGCAGAACTCTTGGTCCATTCAATGGAGAAATACAGCCTTTGGTCTCATGAGGTCACATGACTAACTCCTAATATATTCTTCTTTCTGCCAGCCATAGTTCACTTACTGATAGTAATACCTTAAAACTTGAAAAGAAATAGAAAGAAAAGATTCATTTCTGATTCACCCTCTAAATGACTACTTGGGCCAGTGAGATGGTTCAGCAGGTAAAGGCTCTTGTCACCACGACTGATGACCTAAGTGGTAGAAGAAGAGAACCAAAACCCGAAAGTTGTACAGCTGTGCTCTGACCTCCACACTTGCACTGAGGCGTCTGAGCGCGCGCTCTCTCTCATACTCTCTTCCTCTCTTGTAAAAATGTAATAAACAGCTGCCTCTTTTCTCCTCTAATGAAGTTAACTTTAAATTTGTTACTATGATTCTGTTTCCATCTCAGGTTTACCACATTTCCAGAAATACGTGGTACAAAATGGAGACGAGAATGATCAAGAATGTGTGTGCCCCCGCAGTGGTGCTGGGGGAAAGGATTGTCATTGTGGGAGGTGAGTTAACAGAGGACAGCTGGCCGGGAACAACCTTGGCAGCTCCTGAGGGGAAATGGTTGCTGACAGGCAAGTGTTCCTCTACAGGCAGATCTTTTCAAAAGCACACCCATCCTCTGAGGACAGTGTGGAAAACCAGACGAGGCTATTCGCTGGAAGCTTCTCCTCGGCTTTCTAGATAAACAAGAGATGAAATGGTACCCATTCTGTGGAGTTGTTGCCATGATAAAATGTATAATGTGGCTGAAACCCTCAGGATTGTCCCAGACACACAGTGAAGAAGCGATGCTTGCTGCTGTTAAAACTGGCTAGGTGCAGTGCCTCACACCTATAATTTGAGCACTTGGGGGATGAGACAGGTGTGAAGCCAGCCTGGGCTGCCTGAGTTCCAGGTCACACTAGACAACAGTGTGTGACCCTGCCTCAAAATAATTTTAACCACCACCACCACCACCACAATAATAACAATGTAATCATAATAACGATGATAGAACTAACAAGAACAACAACAGTGGCTGCCAATGCATAATGTATAATGTATTATGGTTACAGGGGTTGGTGTAGGGGTCAAAGAGACCTAGGTTCAAATCCTAACTCTACCTCTAAGTGGTTATATACTTTTTGCAAATTATTCGTCTTTCTATGTCTTGGTTTGCCTGTCAGTAAAATAGGGACCCTCAAAGTAACTGCCCAGTAGCCTGCCATTGGCATCCATTTCTGAGTTCTCAAACACGGTCTCCTTCCTTGACTGGCTACGGCTCTTGGGTAAAGTAGTAGAAATGAAAATGCCAACGAGGCCGAGGAAGCTACTGGAAGGCACAACCTGCCCTTTTCTCTACAAATGACTTCCGTGCTGCCTAAATCTGGGGCAGAGCTAGAAAGATCCAAATGCCAGATCCGGCTCTAGCACGCCGCAGCAGGGTACTTGAATAGCCATGCTTTAGCTATGAGACTTGTGGACGAGGTGGGGGAGGAACATTCCTCAACCACTAACCCACAGCCCCAGGAGAGCGACCCACAGTTGTTCGTGTGATTGGATTTTCAGGTTACACAAGGAGGGTTCTCGCTTATGATCCTCAGTCCAACAAGTTTGTCAAATGTGCGGACATGAGAGACCGAAGGATGCACCACGGGGCCACGGTGATGGGCAACAAGCTGTATGTCACAGGCGGACGGCGGCTGACCACGGACTGCAACATCGAGGACTCGGCCTCCTTTGACTGCTACGACCCCGAGACGGACGCCTGGACGTCCCAGGGGGAGCTACCTCACAAACTCTTTGACCACGCCTGCCTGACTCTCCAGTGCATACCCCACAGAGCCAGCCTCTCATGAGAGCCATAGGAAACCATCTCAGTCAAAATGCCGTGCGGTGTGAGAGACTGGAACCCGGCCCCAAAGTCCCGGAGCTCAGGGACTCTCTGCACAGGAGTCTTTTGTATTTTTAATGCCAGTGGATGCTTTTTAAAAATGCCATCCCTACATCTTGAACCAACCGATGCCAGAAACTACACTGTTATAACTGGACAGGTCTAGCTCACATCCCTCCAGATGGAAGAAATGGGGTAAACTATTTGATTGGCAGCCCAAACTTCCTCTGGGAAACCTCTTCTAGACACACACACACACACACCTTCCAAGGTGACCCTTGACATCCAGAATGAGAGGGCTAAGGGACTCACGAGGAACTTTGGGATCACTCAAGCCAGGCGGCATAGGTGGCAGCATGTGAAACTGGCTCTGACTGTGCCCTGCATTTTATGAATATAGCACATTGAACTTAGTCCCCGTTCAGAATCTGCCTAGGGTTTAAAAAATTATCCTGCAATGAAAAACATAAGAACAGAACAAAGTTTGCTTCTGGTGACAAATGATCTTTTCTTCCAGGCTCCAGGGAGCTATAAAGCTGCAGAATTAATCCAGGGTTTCATTTCATTAAGAATGGCTTTTCCGGGAAAAACCAACAGATTCCCTCATCAACTGCAGCGGCCATTACCCTCCAGATGTCAGGGCTGACCTTCCCTGTGTCCCCTTCACTTCCAAGTGCCCCTCATACTCACCCATTGTCAAGCTCATGAAAAAAGGAGCCCGTCATAGGTTCTCAGTGCTGCCTGAGTGATCTGATTACAGGGAGTTTGTTTGGAAACAGTACTGTGTATTCCCATTCAAGACAGGTACACAGGGGAGGTCCGCTATTCTATATCTCTGAAAGGCATCCTGAGTGACCCTATCATTCCGCCATGGGGGAGAGCTGCAGCCCCGTCCTGCTATGAGCACTGAAGACCACCATAGCTATTCTCTTTCCCATCCTGGCCAATGCCAGGCAATCTCAGTGTTCTAAGTAATATTGTTCCCCACCCATGGAAGCATCTGGAATAAATTTTGCTCTTCTGTGTCTGGTACTAAAGTGCCCACATGCTGGAGCCTCCCTCCCTTCCCAGCATTTCAAAGGCTCCTCCTTTCTTCTCGCTTTCCATCCTTAGCCCCTCAGGCTCTCTTCATGAGGTAATACACTTACCTGTACTCCAGGGATTCAGCTTGCACCATTGGCCCTGCCCCTCAGCTTACATACTGACCCTTTCTCTAACCCTCTCCCCTCTTCTGAGACAGGATTTCACCTGCTGTGATTGCAATTCCTACTTTACTTTGCAAACTAAAAAGCAGTGCTTGGAGGAGGCCCTATCCATATTGTTCCCCTCTGAGGCCTCTCTAATTAAAGGACCCCACTGTCCCCAACACTTCCCCTTAAGACCCTGTGATCGTTAATCTGATTGTAAACTTGACAGGATCTAGAATCACCAGGTAGGCACACCCTTGGGCATGTATGTGAGGGTTTCTAGGCTGGATTAATTGAAATGGAAAGACCCATCCTAAATGTGGACATCAGTGACGCAGGGGCTGGGGTCCTGGCCTGACTAGAGAGGAGAATGCCAACTGAGAACCAGTGTTCAGCCCTCTACGCTGCCTGACTGCAGGGACAGTGTGACCAGGACCTCCTGGCCCTGCCACCATCACTCCACATCAGACCAGGCTGTCCCTTCAGCCCGTTATGGGAGCCAAAGGAAGCCAAAGCAAGCCGTGGGAGCCAAAGCAAGCCCTCCTCCTTCGAGTTGCTTTTGCCAGAGGTGTTGTCATTGAAACAAGGAAAGTAACTAATAAACACCCTCATCTCGTTTGTAATGAATTGTTGAACCTCTTCCTCCTCTAATATCTGTCCTGCTGCCTTCTGTATCCCCAGGGGCTCTCTCCAGTGGCTACAACATACATGTAGATCTTTCATAAGCACACAATAAATAAACTAAACATTTGGTAGGAAAGAAGTTAAATCCACATTGCCTCTGGGATCTCCCTCTCCTCTCTGTCTCCGTCCTCTTCCTCTCCCGTCCTCCTCCCTCTTCCTCTAAGAGGGAAGTCCTTGTACATGCTGGATAAAAAGCCCAAGCTCCTCAGCTAGGCATCATTCTGTCCTTCCCTCTGGCCCCTTTCCCACCCTGAGCTGAATTTGGTAGGTCCAGCAGGGTGTGGTATGACATGCTAGGAGCCCAGAGACTGAGGTGCTTTTCAGAAGTCTGTTGCCTGGAACGGAGGAGTCCTGCTGTCTGTAAACTCCTGTAGGAGACCTGACTTTCTTTCCCTCTCTGCGCAGTCTAATTGTTAATAATCTGCCCTGGGTTGCGGTTATTCAAAGTTCATCCAAGTCAACTTAGGGGACAGAAGAACTTATGTGATCCATTTCCAAGGGTTCATAAAGAAGAGTGGCGTCCCACAGGCCAACTCTGTGGGTTCAGGGTGCTTTCTTGGAAGAGGCATCAACACATCTAACCCCCAATGACCAAACCCCAAATCCAAATTGCATAGCAAAGCAACCCTCCGTGTACAAGGGACCCTTTCCAGCACATCATCATGTCCAAAGTGAAAGAGAAAAATGGTTTTGGCCCGAGCCTTCCTTGGTCTCACTGGCTGAGTATGGCCTCGCAGGCCACTGCTGAGGTCAAAGTATATTCAGCCAGCAGCAGTTAAACTAAAAAGTTTTAAGTTAAAAAAAAAAGTCAAGTAGCCTGACTAATCATCTCCACAGGCAGCAAGAGGAGGAGTGGGCAATGAAACTGATCGATCAAGGGCTAGAAAAGAAAACACCAAAAAAAATACCAAACATCCCATCCTATGATAAAAGAGTGAGCAGGAGAGAGGGCAGAAGGAGCTGACAGAGAACAGGCAGCAGGGGAGGAAGATACTGTGTCAGGGAAGGTGGGGGAGGGGAAGGTAATGGGAGCAGAGGTGAGGAGAGGTCAGTCTTCAGGCACTGGGCAATATCCATGCAGCCCAACTCCCAGTAGGTGTCTGGAAAGGAGGTCTGGCTGCCCGGGGGTCACCATCACACACGCAGAAATGGCCGCCCAGATGCTGAGTCAGGCACCCACAGACACTGTCATGGGCGCATCCCATGCAGGCCCCTCCTGATTCTCTGTCCATTGGCAGCAGGGGCTGCAAGGGAGCACTCACCCCCAAAGCCTAGAACCACCCCTCTTCCTCCCGAAAGGCGACTCCTCTGCAGCTACTCTCTCTGATAAAGAATAGAAAGTCTTGAGTATCTAGACCCTAAAACAGCAGATCTCAACCTGTGGATCTGGACCCCTTTGGGGGCAGTGACCCTTTCACTGAGTTGCATATCAGATACCCTGCATATCAGATCTTTACATTACGATTTATAACAGTCGCAAAATTAGAGTTATGAAAGTAGTAATGAAATAATTTTATGGTTGGGGAGTCACCACAGCATGAGGAACTAACTGGATTTGGGAAGGCTGAGAACCACTGCTGCAGGGGGAACTGACATCATCATCTCTAGAAATTAACCTGTGACTGGATTCACTCACACCCTGTATCCTTTTGTTCTGTGCTGGCTCGTCCTGTGTCAACTTCGACACACAAATCATCTGAATAGAATCATCTGAATCACCTGAAAGGAGGAAACCTCAGTCAAGAAGATACCTCCATAAGATCCAACTGTAAGACATTTTCTTACTTAGTGATTGATGGGGGAGGGCCCAGCCCATTGTGGGTGGTGCCATCCCCTGGGCTGTTCATCCTGCGCTCTATAAGAGAGCAAACTGAACAAGCCAGGAGAAGGAAGCCAGTAAGCTGCACCCACCAATAGCCTGTGCCTCCGGGATCCTGCCCTGTGTGAGTTCCCGTCCTGACTGCCTTTGGTGAGGAACAGCAATGTGGAAGTGTAAAGCCAAATAGACTCTTTCCTCCCCAACTTGCTTATCAATCATGGTGGTTCATCGCAGCACTATAAACCCTAACTAAGACACCTTCCCAGTTCTAAAATCTCCCGCAGCCCCACCATGCCATGCCCACCATGCCCCACTCGTCATGCCTCTCTGATCACTTTCCTAGCGGGCAATTTCTCAACCTTCATGTCCTCTGTCCTGTGAAGCTTTTTCAGCTTTTCTACCGAGCCAGTCCTCCTTGGAACTGTCACAGGAACTAGTCATTTCTTTTATTTGTGTGTGCACACAAGCACACAGGCAGGCATGCATGCAAATGTAACAAGTCAGACCATACGTGTGTGTGTGTGTGTGTGTGTGTGTGTGTGTGTGTGTGTGTGTGTAAGTCTGAGGACAATCTTAAATGTCGTTCTTCCCCCAAACCTCCAAATAACCTTGTTTTCCAAGATAGAGTCACTCACTGGCCTAGAGTTTGACCATTAGACAAAGCTGGGCAGCCAACAAGCTACAGGGATCCTCCTGTCTCCACACACCCCCATTTTATCCCCAGGGCAACAATTACACCCATATGCCACCATGTCCAGTCTTGTACATGGGCACTGTGGGCTGGATTCAATATAGGGATACTTGTATAGCAAGCGTTTTACCAACTGGCCAACCTTCCCAACCTGTGATCAAAGCTGAACAGAAGCTCTTCATGGGGCAAGGCAGAGTTAGAGCCCTTTGGGACTCCAGGGTTATGCTTCTAAGTTCTTGGCAAACAGATGGTGAAACAGATGAGTAGATGAAAAAGTGCACTGGCCTCCAGGGGACTGGATCATCAGTGCAACTCTGAAACAACAGGGACTTAATTACCAGGCTTAAATGAGGTAGGAACTCAGATGAAATGTGATCAAAGATGGGGCTGGAGAAATAGCTCAGAAATTTTAAGGGTTGTTTTGTTTGTTTGTTTGTTTGTTTTTTGAGACAGGGTTTCTCTGTGTAGCTCTGGCCATCCTGAAACTCACTCTATAGATCAGGTTGGCCTCGAACTCAGAGATCCACCTGTCTCTGTTTCCTGAGTGCAGGGATTAAAGGTGTGCACCACCACTGCCCGGCAAGGCTCAGTAGGAACACTTGCTGGTGCCCAGACATACATACATACATACATACATGGCAAAACACCCATACACACACACACACAAAAAAATAAAACCAAG